AGCACCACACCCTCTTTTAAAAGTAAAACCTAGTAATACATTTTTAATCAAGAGGTACTTAGATTTAATTTAGTTCATTTTCCCTGCTTCAGTTGTGAATTGAGCTAGTGTAGTGGTTAAGAGCATGGTCTTTAAAAAAAGGAACTGTATATGGCCTTTGCAGATGGCCAGACTAGAGCTCAAATCATTTATCCACCACTAAATACTTGTGTAACTCAGTAGAAGTAACTTGATTCTTGAAGCTTTAGTTTCTTCCTCTCTAAAACCAGGGTAATAATATTTAGTTCCAGGATCAGTGAATGCCTGCCACATGGTAAGTATTCAATATGTTACCTATTAGTAGAATTATTTAATCCTATTAAATTTTGCTCTGGTTGCTACAGAGTTATAAAATTACTCCCCTACATAGGCGAACAACACCTTACCCACTTACAAATTCTTATTTAGTTTTCTTTGTTTTTAAATAAGAGAAGACAATCTACTCTAAGATAGGAAACAAAGCCGACAATTTAGCTTAGCCTATATAAGCTCCAGCCCTGCAAGCTTGCAGTTCGATCCGTGGTACCAAAAAAAAAAAAAAAAAAAAAAGGTAAAGAGATGACAGAAAGCCACTCTGGACGAGTACAGAGAATTCAAAAGTGAATTTTCCCATTATTTACTTTTGATTTTGTTCTTCTTTGTTCTTGTCCTTTTTTGAGAGAGTTTTCTTATCATAATCAGGCTGTTCTTAAACCCATGGTCCTCCTGCTTTAGGTTCTAGAGTGCTGGGATACAAACATGTGTTACCAGGTTTTACTTTTATTCTCCCAAATAGGGAGAATAAAAAAGATGTCTCTACGATTAAAACTGGATGAAATTATTTAGAAAGTTACATTTTAATCAAAAGGCAAATATTTAATTATAATTTGTCAAGCAATGAAAAATCATTAATTTGCAAGGAAGAACTATTTGAGAAAATACCATCTTACTGATAAATCCAGCTATATCAACTAGTCCACTCATATCTTTATCCCAAGGGCTACAAGTGTAAAAATAGGTAATATACCTTCTAAAAGTGATTATTTTGAAATCATTACAATCACTGTTTCAGAGTAAACAGTTCACTTGAGGTGGGGGAAAATTAACATACTCCATGACAAAGAATCTGTTTAGCAAAAGACATCAGTTATGATAGCATTAAGGAAAACAAACTGTACTACAAATGTGAATAATTAAGTATCACATTAAGCTCTAACTTGACTTTATGCATGGCATCCCTGATTTTCCATTCACTCAGTTTATTTTCTATCCACTATTTTACTTTCCACACCATGGACATTTAAATAGGCTCATTTCAGTGAGGGAAGGTATCATAATGATTATCCATTAACAGGTAGGATTTACGAAACTAAAAGAAACAGGACATCTAAAAAAGAAGACACTCAACCACACAAAACAAAAGTTTGGAAAGAGTGAGAAGTAGAACAAGGGGCAGTATATCAACCGAGGCCAAATTTCCTGACAATATGTAAATGTTTGTTTTATGTATCAATTAAATAAATAAAAATGAAATTGATGGTCGATGTATCCCTGGGAACATAAGGGAAGGGGAAGGAAGGGATGGGAGGGAAGGGGAGGAGAGGGGAAGGGAGGGCAAAGGAAAGGGTGAGGACTTAAGGGCAGAAGGTGCTGGGGAGGGGGAGGTGACCCAAGAGTTATTCCTTAACTCTTATTTGCCATAATTTTAGGAGTGACCAATCCTAGCTGCAAGAAAAGCCGGAAAAATCTGGCAAAAGAGAATGAGATTGTCATTACCAACTTTGGTCGGTCATGCTTCACTAACAAGAACTGGGTACTTTAGTCACACAAAAAACACCTGTTAACAAAGAAAAAAGGCTGTTAACTGGCCAGAACCACTATCTACCACAGTATCTTAGACAGAGCCAAATATGTAATTATAACCATCAGAGGGTGAAAAAGTCACTGTAAGGAAAGGTTGTGGTTTTTTGTTGTTGTTGTTGTTGTTGTTGTTTTCAGTTCACTAAAGCCACAGTGGGGGAGGGGAAGAAATGAAATATTCTTGCTGCTTAGTCTAAGGTATACTCTAAGAAAGTGGAAATGTTTGATCTTGGAACAATGACGTGTACACCTCAGAACACAAAGCTAAACCCTCTCCTCAATCCCATCCTGGGAACCTTTCTCTGCATTCTGTGGTTTCCACAAAGCAAAGATTTAATGTAATCTAAGAATTAAAATAATTATCAGAAAAAAACTTGCTGAGCTTCTGTAGTATGTAATAAAACTGAATAGCTCTACTGTAAATCATGATGTATTCTTTTAGCTGTCAAGATATAAAGGAATCAAACTAATTACTTAGGCTGAAGCAGTTACTCTTTTAACAATTAAATATTTTCTGCATAATAAGCTTATGACAATATCAACTACACGTACCGAAGCTGAAAAATAACATATACACTGACATCCAAGGTCTTTCTTGTCAGACACATTCCTGTGTGCAGTCATTTTGTGTAATAGCCACTATGATTGCTTAGTCATTATAACTTTAGAATTTGGGTGACTTTATTTTCAAAATGTACAGAGTAAGTAACTAGAATGCAAATACTTTTTATTATTTCGAAAGTTTCTATAGAGATCACTTTATTTGACTATAACAAAAAGTTGTACTTCAATCTAGGATTAAGTCAGCATATTTTTTAACTTAAATTTCAACCTGCTGATATTTTTCCAAAAGTACTACAAAAATCTATTTAGTAAGGAGTAGGCAAGTTATCTTTCATCAAGTTGTTAAAATGTTAAATACATACATATTTGGAAAAAGTGTGACCACATTACTATAATGATAAGTAAGCTGTGCAGATTAAATGGCCAGGCTTGAAAGATGATAGACACTGAGTCAGTCAGCACAGAGTTTATGGCTAGCAACAAATGAAGCTTTAGACCATGACCTTTCAGAAATCCATGTCTCCAATAAAACCCTTTGAAGAGCATGGTGACACCTAGCCTCAAGTGCTTCAGCCTTCAGAGAAGAGTGTGCACATGAGGGCTTGCACACTCCCCACAGATGGGTACCTTGGTACAGGAATCCAATTCAGGAAAACAGAGTGATGATAGGAAACCAAACAGTAGATACAGAAAAGGTTCATTCCCATGTTCACAGCACTGCAGAAATTATTTTGAATAGTAATGTTAAATGGAAATTTGCCATAAACTGAACTGGATTACTCGATGTTAAATAATATAACATAATCTCCACTATAAAAATACAATCAAATGAAATGCAAAAGCAACTACAGTTATATTTTAACACATCAATAGTCTTATCTATATAAATTTATATCAGCACATTCACTAAAACATCATACCAATAGTCAATCAACAATATTCATTAGTGAGCTGGATGTGTTGACACACACCTATAATCTCAGCATTTGGGGGGGCTAGGATAAAATTATTGCCATCAGTTCAAGGCCAGCATGGGCTACATGGTGAGTTCAAGGCCACTGTAGGCTACATGGTGATATCTTGTCTCAAAAACAAAAAGAAATTCACTAGTGAGATCAGAATATAAAGCATTAAATGACACATGGAAGAGTACATTTCAGATTTTTAAAATGTGAAAATTCTCAATATGTATTAAATAGCACTTTATCTTAAAATTCCAGGAAACATGTACTGGTTACTAACTATTATACCTGATAATATGAATCCTCAGGCATTATACATGGTTTTGGGTTACTCTCTGAATCCCCCAAATTACTACAATGAATAATAGCCTATTATTTACATCATCAGCTGCTGTCTTTCTTCTGGTTGGTCCAATTTAGACACTGCCAAGGGGTATGGTTACTGGAGCCAGGCTATCCACAGCTTGCAACCTGCCCTTCCTCTGACAACCTGCCTGTACTCACTTCATTCATTATAAGCCTGATACTCCTCAGTCCTACTGAGGAAATCAACATCTTTATACACAGAGTGACCCAGGCTGGTAAGAGTAGCACATTCACAAACCACACTATTTTGATCTTCCACTGTTTAGCAAAAGGAAGACGTATAGAAACACAATATGAACAGAGAATAAGAAGGGAAAGACATTCAAGGAGATTCCATTCTACCTGTCCCTCCCCTCCAAAAAATATGACCTATAGTTCTACACGTTCTCAGTGAGTCCTGTATACCCTTTCTGATAGGTCTCTAGTTGCCGATCTTCTAACAAGATAGAATCCAGAACTGTGGTCAATGCACCACAAAATCTACACATCCTTCAAGAATAAGTTAAATGTTAACGAAGTCAACTTTTCCATCTTTCAGTTTGTCACTGAAAACAATCAACTTTTCCAGCTTTGGTACCCTAACTGCACTTGCATGACTACATTTATCTCTAGCTCACCAGTCTTTAATGCTTGGTCATAAATATCTATCTTCTCCACCTTTCCCCTCACCCAGCACAGAGCAGATACAATGAAATAACTACAATAGTATCATCACTTTTTTAAAAGCATCCAAAATAGTATCATAGGTGAGAGAACAACAACAAAAAAAAGTATGCCTACATTCAAATCTCATCTCAATTCAAAAATTGTCACCCACACCCACATGTACAGAGAAGTCACAAGACAATTAAGAAAAGACCTATCTATAAATTCTAAATGAGATCACTTTACCACTGACCAAGTATTCTGAGATTATAAGTTTACTCTGTTTCTCTGCTGTCTCTAAGGAAATATCTATTGCTATCATAATGATTAATTTCACAGTTAGAAAAATTCTCAAAAAGGGGATAGAACTGGGAGTAGGGTGCATAGCTGTAATCCCAGTGCTATAGAGGCTGAGGCAAAAGAATCACTGCAAGTTCAAGCCCAGACTGGGCTATATAAGCAAGTTCCAGGACAGCCTGAACTACAAAGTGACACCCTTACTCAAACCAACCAACCAACCAACAAAAAGATAATCATAGAGAAGCAATATCAAGCTAAACATGCATCCCAAGCTCTGATAATTACCTGTAATGCTCACTGATGGGAATATTCTGAGAGAAATACAAAGCTGCTGTCCGCGCTCTCCAATGCCATTTCTTTGCAGGAAGGGTATAAAGGACACAGTTTTGTAACTCATTTTGGAGCAGATCCACCAGCTCTTTATGTGAGCCTCCATAGAATGCCTCAATGATGAGGATACTCATTGCTAGATTCAAACCTTTGAATACAACAACAAAAAAAAAAGTGTAATTTTTTCAAATATATACATAAACATGGCATTAAAGTAAAAATAAGATTAAATTTCACTGTGAAAAAATACCAATAGTTTAGTCACATGATTTTTTTTTTTTTTTTTTTTTTTTTTTTAAGGCAGGGTCTCACTATGCAGTACAGGCTGACTTTGAACTTACTTTGTAACTCAGGCTGGCCTTGAATTCACAGCAATTCTCAGCCTTCTGAATGCTGGGATTACAGGCATGTGCAATCATACCTATCACATGACTTTTTAAAGAATACTTATTCCACCTTTTAAAAAGCATGAATACTTAAATCTTACATGTTTATCATCAAAATTTTCACACTACCTTAATAAGAAATTAAAGTGTCTATTTTTCTGAAGTCTGTTTTCTTCATCCCCTAAGATTACTTCTACTATGACTTACTTTTATCTCCTCCCCAAGAATCTCAAAATGCTGTCCTGCTATGATCACTCACTTCCTGGATGGTTTGGCTGTAAATATCATTCAATAACCTCAGTGCCTGTTTGACCTACAGTTCCTGTCTTGGATAATAACTGAACTCATCTCCTGATGAAAGCCTCCACTTCAAGAGCTCTTCATTTGTAGAGGCCTTTTCAGTTTGGAAGTTTTCTGATTTTATATTAATCCACATTTACATTTAACAGCTCTCTCCATGCCTAATGAATCTATAATGAAAAGAGGGAACATTTACATTTAAAAATTTGTTTTATAGATAAAATTTTAAAATAAAATTTCATGAGATATTATGCATATCTTGAACACTTCCCTGCTACAGTGTATTATCAACATCCCCTTTCCAAACAAACATTAAAAATGCAAAATAAAACCACCAAGATTCTGTAACTTTATATAATACCCATTATAAGAGGAATAAAGTTATAATAATAGAGTTCTTAAAGCCTTGATAAGATTCCATCACTGAGAATTGACTTCCAATCAATTTTTCATTTTAGTAAAACGATTTTTGTTCATGTTCTCAGTGAAATAAAAATATATGTATAAATGCAAAAGCTTTCATATACATTTGAAAGTATATGCTATTTCCTGTGAGACATAAGGGAAAAACACCATTCTGCGCATGAATGCTATGTAGCTTAAGAAATATTCCAGATGTTTGAATTTTGTTTTATGAGTGAAGTAAAATACCATTCATTAAACAGTATATTGCTTTTTAAAATAATGCCACCCTAAAATTATTACTTGCAATGACTCAATAATGCTCTTCATTAATAAAACTGTATTTCACCTTGCTCAAAGTAATGCCTATTTAAACTGTATTTCAAAGCAAAAAGTCTAAAGTGGTTCTCAAATAAATGGCTGTCTGACAAAAGCTTTCTTTTTGATATATGAATCTTCCCCTGCGCATCTGTTGAGAAACTGTGACTCGTGTGTGACTATGTATGGGTATGTGTGCATGTGTGTGTTTTACTCATGTAAATTAAAGGAAGTACAAGTTGTACTTCAGCTTTGTTTCCTTCCTTCTTTCTTTCATTGTTTTCTTTCTTTCCTTTTGTTTTGTTTTTGTTATTATGCAGTAGCAGGGACTGAACCCAAGGACTATGTACTGAGCTATATTTCCACTCTTTTTCATATTCATTTTTTAATTTTGAGACAAATTCTCCCTAAATCACCAAGTTGCCCTAGCTGCATCAACTTACCTCATGCCTCCTAAGGTACAGAGACTCCATGTATGTGGCACTAAATTCAGTAGCTCTATTACATTCTAGTTTTATGAACTTGTACAGGTTTGGAGATCTCAGTCAACCTTCTCTAAAACTGAGATAACCATATTAACCTCAGAAGTGTATTATGGGGATAAACTTAGGTATTAAATGCTTGCAAACAGAGTCTCTAGTAACTTTCAGTTGTGGACAACTATCCACAAGGTATAGCTGAGAAAATCGTATGTACACATTCATTGAAAACACAGTGGATATTACCCATTTCTCATCTGCAGCTTGCATTTCAAATATGAATTTGAGAGTCCTGCAGGTAATGTGGGTAAGAGATAAGCTTGGAGGCTGAACTATACAGAGCTCAATTTTTTTCAGACCTGCTGGAGACTTTGCTTTAATAATGCAGTGTTCACTAAGTTTTCAAACATACTCTAAGTTCAACAAAGTGGTAGCCATTAATCTTTCAAGTGATAAGAAATTTCTAGAAAGAAACTCAGAGAACCGCAAAAGGAAATTTTGAAAATTATACCAAACATTTCAAGAAAGAGGAGATTAAAAGCATTTTTAAAATTAATTTGCTTACCAGATCACATCATAGATATCTGCTATCTTTATTTCCTCTGACCTAATCACACTAAGGTGTATATGCCCTGTTTACTCTTAAAAGGTCACTAAATGGCTTTGTAAAAAATGACTTGAGACATTTTCCCAAGTGACAGAATATGACATAAGCCTCTGTAAAGCATATCTTGCTCATATAATCTCAAAGCAACATCAATAGTAGAAAAAAATAGCTTTCTGATTCTTCATCATTCTGCCCTTTCCATGATTTATCTCAAGTATGCATCATGGTATAGGTTTATTTTACAGATATTTCTTAGGGGTCTGAATCACAAGTTATCTACAAACCATCAGCCACTGTGGAGACTGTATGTGTAGATGCTGCTGTAAACTCAAGACTCTCAGTGAGCAGACCTGAAGACCAAGTACGTGGGAGGCTGAAAAACAGAAAAGGGCACACACGCACAGATTCTAGCTATAGAATATTTCCACCCCTTTAATAGCTCTGTAAGAAGAGTGAAACATACAGGCTTGAAGTAACGTAAGCTTGAGCATTTTTCTAGTGGCCAAAGGGTGTGTCAGCATTTGAGGTATTTTTCTAGGGAGACTAACTATGTCCTACCATCTCTGAAAACTATACTTAGTGGCTTTGATTCATGGAAATTTGTTCTGCTTGTCTTGTGGAGACAGACATAGCAGGGCAGTTCCTCCTACTTACTTCTATCACAACTTCTGCGACAAGAAGAAAATGTGTTTTTCCCTGCAGTCTTCTTGAAGAATGACCTGGAACAAAGATAATTCCCATTAGTTGCATTAAAAAAAAAAAGAAAAGAAAGAAAGAAAAGAAAGGAAAAGCTGATTTCTAATATAAGATTCAAACCAAATGTTCTTATGGCACATTAAAGTGCAGTTCAAATATTTTCACTATGCTTAGAGTTCTCCTTTAGAAAATACTGCTTAAAACAAACAGGGGTGAGGTAGCAAAGAAGCCGTTTTGCCTATACAGTGGTATTTGCTCAAATGTAAATGGATTACACAATTTGGTGTTTTAGAATAATTAGAGAAAACTGCAATACCAAAATACCACCGAAGCTCACAAGCATACAAGGTGAATGAAAACACTTTTGGACCACAAGCAATGGCTAGCAAGGAGAAAGGGAACAACAATAATAAGGCCTTCACGATGAAAGCACGACCTTCAAATGAAGGACAGGATCTCCTTAATGGTAAGAGGCCAGGGCCAGGTATCCATCAGAAGATGGCTCTGAGCCTATACAAAGTAAAATCGCTTACACAGGTATCTGAGTTTATGAATCTGTTAAAACACTGTCGTAAGTGCTACCACAGACCTTAAACCCTGAAACCTTTGAGTAAGTTTATCAAAATAAGAGTGTGTGACATTTTAAAATAAGCAAAAGAGAATACTAATCAGCCAGCCCATGGTCTTTCTATACAATATTCAGAATATTTTGTGACATTAAAGAAAAAAGTACATGGCCACTACATCTTGCTGCTTAAAAAGGCATATAAAACACTCCAGATAAATTTTTAGCAACTTTTAAGTTTTTCTGGTTGAACAAGTAAGCTTCAGAAAGAAAAACTCACTCTCCAGCACATTTTTCCCCAAGGACACCAGATTAATGAAAATCTACTTTACTGTTAAGCTTTATGAAAGTTTAACTCATTATCAATACTACGATTTAATGATTCATAGTTAAACGCTACATGTTCTATTTGGCAATATAAAATAAATAAAAGTGATAGCAATGACAGAGAAGTTTTCTACCATGTCAAATGATATTTAAGATTTCCAAAAGACAAAATGATCTATTTAAGAACTATCTAACATACTACAAATTTACATATACAATGAAAAAGAAATAAATTATTTTTAAAAATCACAATAACATTTCGTACAAATATTGACCAAAGTGAAAAGGTACCATTAGCACCATCTCAATTAAAATCTAATAAAGCAGTGATAGGATAGAGAACAAAAGTAGCCTGAAACCAATGCTCTGAATATTTTTAAATTTTTATTAAAACTTTTTTGTCACTTTACCTGCATTTATTTTAAGCTTGACCCAATTTCTTTATTCCCTGAGCCAGATCATTTTCAAGGTGAACTACATTTTTGCGTACCTCCGGTAGCAGTTACAAATGCTGTGTTAGTTGAAAAAAAAAGATATATGCAGGAAATTTGCAATATGTCATTGGTTTGCTTTAAAAAAAAAAGATGTCCTAAGTATAAATGAATCATATTAATTTAAAAATAATATAACTAAACTGAAGTCATAAAACCCGTATCATGTATGATGTCAAGGCAGGTGCCTATATTATTCAGATAATTTTCCAATCAAATACCCATTAATAATTGTAAATCACAGGAACTTTCATACTAATATATTCCATAGACACCTTACTGCTACTACTTGTAGGAAGGTATATAGTTTCAGTGATCATGGTTTTAACAGTTTTAATCCCACACACATGAGAAATTGGTTCCACAAATTAATCTGCACATAGCTTGATGTCTTAAAACTTCAATTAATTGCTGAATACATATTTTATATTTATCTATATTCAGTCTTTGGAAACTTACATCCGGCAGAACAAAAAATCAGTGAGCTTAACACTAAACAGTTAAATAGGACATAGTAAAATTTGAGTAGGCTTTCCCAATAGGTCAGCAAAGATTTAACTGGTATTTTCTTTAGCGGACTTTTCTCCGCCCCTTCCCTTCTGTACCTCCACTAACTGACTCAAACACACTTAGGATCTATTTAAAAAGCAACTAATAACCCAGCAGAGTAAAATAGGGCAGTGCTGAGACAAGCTAGCATTACCTTCCAGCCTACTCACTTATTTTAATGATTCACTGGGAAAACCCCACTTGTTAAAATATACCTGAACTCTCACTAAAGACTAAAAAATAAGCACATAAGAAATTTTGCTTTGAAATATGTTACCAGTGATTCCCTTAACAAAAACTATTTTGGTTTCACATGAAGTAATAATACATTTTCCTTTTAAAAATTTCCTTAAAGTAACAAAGTACATTTGAGATATAAGAAAAAAAAAAGAGAGATTCTACTAAAAAGTCATTTTTTTATAAAAATCAAGAATAGCAAATTTACCTTAAACTCAAAACATCTGATCATAATCTTTAAATACTGGAATATGATCCAGCAGCAAATTCAAAATAAAAATCTTACCATCTTAACACTATATGCAACAAGAAACATTCTATATAAAATATTTGTTAAATTGTCAAAGAGTAAGGAATAAGTCCTTTTCCTCTCAATTTTAGACTGAAATTAAGCAGATAATGCCTAACAGAAACATTACTTTTTATTTGGTTATGGTACATACAATCTACTACTTATACTGTGTACTGTACTATCAAATATACTTAAATAGAAACAAAATCTTAGGTCTAAATTTTAAAAGATAAACCAATCTAATATTTTATAACCTCACAACATTCTGAATATTGCAATTTCTTCATTTTTGAATTTCTTTCCAGTCATAAAAACTAAGAACTAAGAATTTGTGCATCAAAATCAAGATTGTAGAAAGATTTAAAAGTCATATTGTTTCTGAGATAATTTAAAGCTATTTGTAATGTATTTTTCACTTACATAAGTTGTAATGATCTCTTATGTAGATGTTTTTTCACAAAGTTACAATTTTATATGCATATGTGACTATTTAACTTTGGCCTGATATATATATATCTGATGTGGGCTTTAAATTTCTGGTGAAAAATTGAGTCACTTATTCCATAACTTGACTTAATAGAAAGTCTTGATTATAACATTCAAGTCTCAAATGCAATTCAACAAATACTAAATACCTTATCATGTACCATAATGCAATGCTTTTCAAATATATACAATTTCCACAAATAACATTTGTATACATTAATTTCTTTCTTCACATTTTTCTAAACTAATATTCCACATTATATAGCAAACACAGGCTTCTCTTTTAAAGACTTTTGTGAGGACTCACTTCTTTGACAACTTCTACAATTTTTCAAGGCTATTATTTCATGAATAATTTCAAACTTTTATAAAATACCAATGACTTAGTTTTATTGAATATTAAAGATATTTTCAATTTGTTGCCATTTTTAAACATGGAAGCATATTTATGAATAAATGGAAAATTTTACATTGGAAAATCAGTTCATCACACTAGTATTACCCTTTTAATTACCATAATCTTTTCCCATCAATCTGTCTTCAGAAGCCAATCACAAATACTCTTTCCCAAATGAAAGTCTGATCATGAAGTGCTTTGCTTCAAATCTTCAGTGTCTCCATCAACTAACAATAAAATTCAAGACCTACATGTGGCTGTTCAGTCATTTTTGATCCCTTCCCTTCCGCTCACTCCTCCCACCTTTGCTATTCACCAACTTCATTCCTTCTCCCTTACTTCAGACAGCATCATAGCAAGATGAAGAAGTAGCAAGTACCTACACTCCTGTAGTGGTATTGTCCTATGACTTCACATCATTATCTCTCTTCTGTCAGTCTTCTTTTGGATCCACCTCACAAAATTTTGTTAAAATTTCTGTGCATGAGTCATTATTTCTATGAAGTCTTTCTCCAAATATCTCTGAAACACATCTTCCTTTCTTCTCTAAAGAATGACATTACTTGTTTTACGCTGTGGCCATGTATTGCTTTTCTATGGGGCTGTAAAAATCTGGAGGAGAGGACCCACACTTTACTTTCCTTAGAGGTACCCCAGTATCTACAATATAGTGGACGTATCTAAATTTTTGTGGTGCTGAATTCAAAATCAGAGGAACACAGGAAGTTGATTTTGTCTGCCCTTAAATTATCACTGCTTTTGCTTAATGTTTTAAATTCTGAGTAAAGTGTTAGCCAGTAATATACTTGCTAGTAATGACATCTCATAACTTCTAAAATCTCTCTCAAGCACCAACTGCATTTGAACACATTTTATTATGATCCTTTTTTAAATGCTGATTCTTTTTTTCAATTGTACATAAAAATCAAAACTTATGTGAAACAACAGCTTTCAATCATTTGTTTATTTCACCTACTGATACAATAGTGATTGAAATAATGACTAAAGAAATGTTAGATATGTCATAAGCAATTGGATTCTAGCCATCACCAGTTTCATAGCCTAAGAGAATATCCATGAAGTCTATGAATTTTAAAAATCACCTGCAGTTTTTTTAATTCTGTTTGATCAATTATCATCTGACTTTACTTCTAGAAGTGGAAGTAGGATAAGAAGCCAATTCCCTCACCATCAATCTGGTGATCCCATTCCACTATTAGTAATTAGGCTTTGATTTAACAAAGAAGAAAAAAGGCATTTTTAAATACTTTCTGCCAACAATTATTCATTTTATAAATGTTTTACATGATGAATAATGTATTTGTTCTCAAGATGGCATTTCTCCAGTACCTTCTATCTACTTAAAATGGACTGCAAAATCAGCTCAGTACAAGAAAACTAGGGTATCTGACCCATTAGAATATAGACACCTAAATGGGGAAGTCAAGGTATGCCACAGAATCACGGCTGAAAAAAAAAAAAAAATGCTACTCCCATTATTCAACCACTTTTCTTTTGCAAGAAAAGAACAAAAGAATATTGGCACATCAGAGTAAATGAAAGAATAAGGATTTAAACCCAGGTCTTGAGACCCAATATTCATACCTTGTTCCGTTATACTTCACTTCAGAAACGTGATACAACAAAATGTATCTATCTTCTAGTCACTGGAATTTTAA